TCACATCTGTCCCCCTCCCTAGTCTGAAGGTCAACGAAAGAAGTTCATTCCTCTTCTTACTCAAACTCGGTGTGGCCCCTGGAAGCCCACAGCACAGCGGTCAGGGGTGAAGATGAGTGATCAAACGCCTGAATTGAACATCTGACTGGAAAGGGAAGTGTTTGACTGGGCTGAGACAGAAGCTGTTGAAGGAAGACAGAGGCAAAAGAAACAGAAAATCCATACAAATCCACCAACATAAAAAGCACAGCAGGATGCCTTCACAGGTGCCCATTCCATAGAGAATTTCCTTTTGAAATTAATGGGAGCGTATGTAAAGCAGCTGACCGGCTGTCCTCCGTTCTACCATGACGCCGGCTGGAGGCCACTCGAAATTTCTGTCATGGGAAGAAGGAGGCTGTTTAAGAAACATGGTGGCTCCGTCAGCACAAGCGTGACAGACTCCATGGTAAGTGCTGGGTCACTGACACACTGAGTCGATGAATCAGGATCCGAGTGGGGCAACGGGCAGTTGTGCAGCAGACCGCATCCTTGGCATGTCCCTCAAGCCCCTGCCGACTCTTACGAATCTGATGCAGAGTCATAGCTCTGCCTTCATGCCATCTCCTCCCTGAGACAAGTGTTCCCATGGTGCCGTGTCTGGGAACCAGTGTTTGGAGGACGACTAGGACCACATCAGAGGACAATTGCGGGGGGTTTCCATGGGGCACGGATGGCCCCACTGTCCCCGAGGGCAGAGCCATCGAGCTCACGTTTCTCATCCCGCCATCAACAGAGCCTCTGTCTCTTCTGCATAGGAAGGGGATCGATCTGTTAACAAATTACATAAACAGTCCCTTCAAAATAGTTTGTTTTGTTTTGGTTGCTTTTATACTAAAGATACTAAAATTTATACAAAGTATATTCAGAGTATATTTTGGCACCAGAGTTTGGAAGGCTGTTTCCAAGTATATACTTGTAGCCATTGCTTTAGAATTTTGTTTTTTGCATGTTTCTCCAAGTGTGAGTATTTGTTTATAATAATTAAAGAATACTTCATCATCCATGGGCATGGTAGCTTCATGGAGAAGGTGACCTTGCAGTGGAAATACTTCCCTCCCAGGAGAAGAAGGCCAGGATCTTAGTTCTTCCACCGTCACAACGAGATCTGTTGGGGAACCTCATGGGACTGTAACTCTGGGTCCTTCCTGGATCACCTTGGATTGTTTTAAACTTTTGATTAAAAACTTCGCAGTGTATCTTCTGGAATTATTTGTCATCTTTGAGTTGGCCTCTGCATTTCTCTGTCTTTAGCATGGCGCTTTCCTTATGGCTTTGAGTTTCATAAAAACTCTTGGCATTTAACATTATTTGGAAATCCTCTCCGCAGTATTTCTAACAAAGCAGGATGTAAGTGTGTGTGTGCACGTGTGTGTGCATGCGTGTGTGTGTGTGTGTGTGTGCACGCGTGCGTGTTCCATGCTCCAGCTCAACCCTAACTCTTGGAACTTTAGGACATTTATTCATCACATAGAATAAGGATATACTAACGTTAGGGGTTTTCTTTTATGAAAGGCAGCTAGAAAATTTCTAAAAACTTAATTACCCAAAAGGTCTTGTGATACAATGATCTGTACTTTGCTTGGTCATTTGCAAAGTAATATGAAGGCATACATGGTTGTTAAGTGTTATCTGATAATAAAACATATAGCAATATCAATCATTAAATCATTACCCCAACATTCATGAATTCCTACACACACAGACACACACACGCGTGCTTTAAAGCTCTAAGACTTTCCAAGATTAAGTTAGAGAGTTTGGAAGATGTTTAATTTACAGAATCCATGCCTTCAATATTATCTTAAGGCATGTGAGCGATTCTGCTGCCTTTGTGGATGCAGTGGTCATTAAATTCCACCACAGCCAATTTTACAAACAGAGCAACAGAACCATGGCCTGGACCAAGAAATGAACAGTGGCGCTGAATTTTACAGCTGCATTGGCTCTATTTCTCCTTTCTGTGATGCGCTTTGCCCTCTTTCCATTTTAATTTTGGTGGACACAGGGCAGGCTGTGCCAATGAAACCAAAGATCCAAGCCCTGTGGCCACGGCTTCTGAATCTGAATGTACATCGGAAAATCTCAGGGAGCTTCATAAAAACACAGCTTTTCCTGGGATGCTGTCGCAGAACCCAATCCTGCTGAGAGCAGAGCTGCCCTTCCGTGGACAGTGGACAAGGGTGTGGGGACCCAGAGATGCCCCATGTTGCTGTGGGATGCTGGACAGCGTCCACCAGCCACCCCAAAGCAAACGGGAGCCTGCTGGTCTGTTCAATTAATGTGTAAAGTCACTCTCCAAAATATGTTTTTAGAAGTTCGTATTGCTGAGGAGATTCTAACTACCCAGCGGGCTTTCAGATGACACACTGCTCTTGTTTTTATGACCAACAGGTCCCCACTAACTATTTGCACAGCTGGCCACCCAAACCTCAGGTGTTCACTGTGGGAATCCTGCTCTCCTCTGCAGACCCGCCTCTTCCCTCTGCTAATACCCGCATCCTCCTTCCAGGGCTCAGATGCAAACATGGAACACGTTCCAGATGCCTGTCTTCCTCCAGCCACATTCGGTCCATGGTTTCGGCCCCCGACTCCCTCCCCTCCTCCATTCCCATCTGCCCCATCCCATCCCCACTAACGGGTCTCCTTGCTCCTGCCGGGCACAGCCTGGTGGCCCAAAGCCCCAACTACTCTGCCACTGGGAGTCCTGGACCTGTCACTTTCCAGTGGCGTGACTCAAGGGTCCCCTCGGGTCCCTCCCCCGGCATCTGTCCAACAGATTAGGATCCCGGGAGCTGCACTCCCTCTGCTTGAAGGTTTGCTCGGGTTTTCTGGAAGCAAACCTAACTTTCAAACTGAGTGCTTCCCTGGATGGCTCTATTTAAAATTGTGACCCCTCCCCCTATCCATGGTCTGTGTGCCCCGCCCCCCCCATATTCAGCGTCACAGCACCTGCCTCCGCGCACCATCCACCTGCTCCAGCAGCAGCTCTCAGGGCTCTGGTTCTGCGCGGACCTGAGCACCGCACACCGGGGGCAGGGAGTGCTCTCCTCCGCTCCCTGCCACGGTGACCGCCCTGCCCAGCGCAGAGCGGGTACTGAGGACACAGGAGCTCCGTGTTGGGAGGCACTGTTTTTTTCAACTCCTCAGTGTGGGGCATTACTTGGACATTTCTCTGAGTCACGCCTGGGAGGAAAGTGATTCGCATCCTCAGGAGACAGTCGGTGAGGCCTTCTTCTTACATAAACTGATCAAGAGATTTTACCTTTTAGAGGATCCTTCTTGCCTCGAGGATAAAAAAAAAAACAAACCCTGGCTTATGTGTCATCAGATAGTTTCTTGTGTTACCCAGAATCAAAACCTGAGATCTGCTCTTGCTTTCTCTTGGCACTTTGACGGAACTGCTCTTCCCTCTGCTAGCGGGCTCGCTCTGAAAAGGCAGCCGCGACGACAGGCCATCAAAACACATCAGCGATGCTATGAAATTCGTGTGAAAACAAGTGTCTAGGAGCCAGCGGCACATTCCAAAGGCACTTTATACATACGCACAACGAAGGCTTTCTGGTGAAGCCTGGACCATGTGTCCACTTGCATGATTAAACTATTTACCTTTCGTATAACCATACATGGCGGACAATCAGGCCGTTAGCTGCCTGTCGTGCCCTTTGCAGCAAATGTCTTTTTTTTTTTCTTTTTAATAAACATGAGCTCGGCCTTGCCAGCCCTGCCAGCGGTTAATTACCAAGAAAACAGCTTCAGTCATTGGAAATGCACTCATCTTTGCCATGTGCCACTGGGGTCATTTTCACTTTTCTCCGGATCTCGAAATTTTTCAGTGTATAAGGAACTTTGCTTATAGGACAAAATATATGAAAATCTTTAAAAGGTCGCAGACTTCTGTGATAATTAGGCATGTGATGGATAGAAGTAGAATGTATTACTGGGATGCCAGCCTCTTTATGTAGCTTTCTCTGTTCTTGGCACTCACTTGAGCCATGAAAACAAAGCAGAAATTGAGTAAGTTGAAGGCCTGTTACAACCACTGGAGCCCAGGATATCTAGAAAGATCCTTACATACTTAATACATTGCATACCTTTCAGCAAAGGCGGTCAATATATTTACCTCCTATCCCGTTGCAATGTTTTGGTCAGTTTCTATGATAAGATGCTTGCCCCAAAGCCCCCAACAGTCATTCATCCATCCAGTGCAAAGTTGGGGGTAGTTCTGGGGCTGGAAGATAAAATTGATCCAATTCAGATCAACACTAGATTCACCATCACCAAAATGCTCAGATTTTGTATATGGAGTGAGATTAGGTGTAGAAACCACAGCAGAACTTCCAGCTTGTCACAAACCGCCATGTCATTCCCCATAAATGACTCCTTCCATCCAGAAATTGCAACCCTATTGGGATGACACGTAGCCAGAGCAGAGAAAGCAAATTATAACCAGGTCAGGGTTACCTGAGAACCATTTACAGCTGACTTTTCTGACCAGTGTCTCAGACTCTGCAGGGTCAGACTCTAAGGTTGTTGAAGTCCCCGCCAGGTCCACACCACTAGAGTAGCACGGGAAGTTTGTAAAGGAGGGTTGTTTCTGCCGGCGAAATGTGACGTGAGCACAGAAGGGAACACAAAACACACACACGCACACACACACGCACACACGCGCGCACACACGCGCGCACACACGCACACGCATGCACACACACACACACACACACACACGGAGGCGTTCGAAGTTGTCATTCACCACGGTACACGCACTGATCCTTTGCAGAACTTGCCTACCTGTATCCATCCGCCATATATAAATGGGTTTCTAGGGACAATGAAATATTGCTTATACATAGTTGCACAGGAACACACATGTTACTCGACGGAGCTAAGCCTCATGGTTTTGCACACAGCAACCAATCACACGAGCTTAACGGGCACAGTAAAGCGTATCAGTAGCGTACCTGTCATGTTGCAGTATACAAGAGCAGGTCCCAGCGGGCCACTTCCGTCTGAATCGATATAGTAGAACCCTGAGGAGTCCCCTCTGTGCCTGTGGGCGTCACAGGACTGCTCGAACAGAGCTGCAAAGGACAGGGGTCTCAGACAGGGCTGCAGTGGGACGGATCCCTCCCTGTCCTTAGTGATGGGATGCTTTCCCCAGTGACACTCGTTCTGCCTTGCTCTCCGGGACGGTTTCTCCAGGGGAGTGTTCCCCTGTGCCAGTCAGGCAGCATGAAGACCCTGAAGCTTGGAGTGAAAGATTTTAAGAGGTTATCACCATGTGTATCTGAACCCTGCCTGCTCTAGCAACAAGATTCATTCCAAAATCATGGTAACTGGCCTCACGCAATCTCCTTCTACTCTGCCCCATGATGTTTAAGTCTCGGAAGTGCACTGGCTTCGTCTCCCTAAGTGATCTGTTATTATCTAATAACCACATCGATGTATTAAATTACTGAGTAGTTATTTCCTCTGTTTACTTAAAATGATCTACTGTGCAATGCATTACTTTCCAGAGGAGTTTTATAAATCAGCAAGTCTCCTTCACTCCATTTATAATATGTGTTTTAAAAGGAAATTTCCTGAAATGCTTTGCAAATGATTATTCAAGCAAATTGAAAGTCAAAATTATATATATATATATATATATATATATATGTATACACACACACACACATGAAATATCTCTCAGTGATTTCAACATATCCCAATTCTTAGTTGAATTTTTTATACGTGCAATAAATATTTTGCTATCACAAGACAAGTGACTAACATCAGTAGATGATGGACTTAATCAATGTTCAGAATAAGTCTAAATGACTAATCAACTGAGTAATAGCTCCCACGTGTCTCCCTCATTTCCTTGACAGGAAAGACCCTTTGAAAACCTAAGAAGTGGCTACTGGCAGCCAGTCAAGGACAATGCGGACTGTATCCCTCAGCCCCCCTAAGGCTGAGACCTGGCATCCATGAACACAGACCCGCAAGTGGCCAGGCCAGAGCCACAGAGCGGAGTGATCCTAGCAGAGACAGAGGGTCCGAGCGTGGGCGGAGGACAGACACCACTCTAAGCTCGCTGGATTATCTACTCTGAAATCTCTGCCTCTTTTGAAAAGCGAGGAGAATCCGGGAGAAGCGGGGCAGCCAGGGCAGAGGGGTTTTCTGCTTTCTCACAGAAGAAGATCAAAGTCATGTCTGCCTGCCCAAGGATTTTGCAAAATACGACATTCTTCTATAAATTATGGCTGAGTGTCAGTGTGTCAAATTAGACTGGCCCCATCTGTCACACACCTAGCACCACCGTCCACTCACGGCCCCATCTGTCACACACCTAGCACCACCGTCCACTCACGGCCCCCATCTGTCACACACCTAGCACCACCGTCCACTCACGGCCCCATCTGTCACACACCTAGCACCACCGTCCACTCACGGCCCCATCTGTCACACACCTAGCACCACCGTCCACTCACGGCC